TTTTTTTTTTTTTTTAATTGGCCATCGTATACATTGTGAAATGAGGCTGTTAACAACATAGTTGACAACTGGTTTTTCAGCTGTTTTTATCAATCGGTGTTGCTTGTTCAAAACAGCAACCCTCTGGTAGCTGCAGATTCTTTTTTTTTTGCTTTGCCATTCCGAGTACATTAAATGCTATTAACGGAATGCAGCAATGGCAACAACAACAACAGCAATAGCAGAAATGGCAGCAGAAGCATCAGAAGCAGCCAGAGCTGCAGCAACAAAAGCAGCTGCGGTAGCAGTAGCAGCAACAGGATAACTACAGTTCAATTTCTTGGTATCGCCATTGTTACTGTGCTATCTGCAGCAATAGTCTGTTGCTGTTTCGAAGTCATAGTCGTTTGAGCAAATGAAAAATAGTCTTTCTGCTCATTTTTTGATAGTTAAATGCTTTATTCTCAGAGTACTTGACAGCTTTTTTTCTGTTTTGATTTAAAGCTCTGTCAACAAAAAAAAAAAGTTGTCTTGTATAGAAAGAAACAGGATTATTTTTTAGATTTTATCAACTACTGACTACGCAATAAAAGTACTAATGAAAATTTGGCACTGATTTTCAAGGCGAAAAAAAAAAAGGAAAACCGGTAATTAAACATTTATGCTGATCGGTGAAAGATATATGCTGTTCCGTAGGTGATGCAGCTAAAAGAGGGTAATTTCGCTATGTTTTTGCTATTGCTTCCTTATAACGGCAATGAAAATTGTTGTAATGAATAAAGTAAAAAAAAAAAAAGTTAAGTTTCTGTTATTCACAACTTTTTTCACCTAAATTTTTGATAAAAATTTGATAGGGACTATCGAAAAACTGAAAACAAACGGATATACTGAAACGATCAGTAGAGAAACGCTGATGACTGTTGTGTTTGATATTGGACCTGAACAAAAAACTATATCAATCGTTGTTGCTGCTTTTACTTTAATATCTGCATGAACAAATGAAACTAAGAGCACACATACAGACATATCTATACATACAAAAATGATTGCAAGTTGACAACCTGAAACAGAATTTTGGCTTCTTCTATGTTTACTGCACTTTTGAGCAAAATTTTGCATATTTTAAATCTAATATTGCTTTGATTTTACGGCAACTTCCATCGTCCGACATCGGTGTCAACAGTTCTGGAGACCATATAAAGAAGCTTAGTTTCTAATGTCATAACTAGTGTCAAATAGGCAACAATTATGACAGATGCTGTATCAAAGGAAGAATTGTTGGAATCCCAATATATGTGTCAAAAGATTTGTGCTAACAGATAAAGCATTAAATTAAAAATATTTTCATTGAACAAAGTGTATCAAAAATTACTTCTAAAAAGACTGTTTATTCCATAATTTTATAACTGTTTTAATTATAAAAAAATTTTCTCAAAAAGATGAAATCAAATTAAAAGGTATTTTAAAAAAGTCCGACTTAGAAAAAAAACACGGTAGAAAAAAGTGTGAAAGAAGGGAAAAACGAAAGAGTACAATAACTCTTCAAGTTTTTGACCATTTACTTTAAATAGCAAAATAATCGCCAATTACAAAAAAGAATTGCAACAACTATCGATTGCTTAAAAATTGTTTTTTAGGCAATCTTTTGAATTTGCTTTAAAATTTTTACTGTTAGCATAGATTTCAAAAAAACTTGAAAAAAACCTATAACTGCTGTTAAATTTAACATTTCCTTTACTTTTTTTTGATTCCTCAGAAATATTTTTAATTGAATTTGTAATCTTCATCAACTGACTAATTATTACTGTGCTTACATTTATTACACACAAAAATCAGTCAAAATTAATTACATTAAAAAAATAACCCTAAATATAAATGTAATAAAATAAGTAGTAATTTAAAACAAAAATAAAAAAAACACACAAATTAAATTTTACTCATTTTCTTCTAAGTCTAACATTAAAGAAATTTTTTTAAAAAATAGGAAGCAGAATAACAAACTGTAAAAGATTATCAATTAAAAATGTACATGAAACAGCCCAAGAATGATGAATTTTATCTGACGCCAACCAAAATCTGTTTAATTTAAAATAACTAAAGTAAGGAGGCATTTGTTGTTTTTTCTCTTAATTCCATTAAGAAAAACTATGGTTAAAGAACTGCAAAAAATCCCAGTAGTTTCTTTCTTGTTTTAACCTCCTCCTGCAGATTCACAACTTTAGCAGCACTGACAACCCCGTAGCATTTTGTGGGTATTAGAGCTAATGTTACTCGATAAGCGAAGGTCAGGTACAGAATTCAAGAAATTTAAAGCAATTTTGGTTAAAATATATTTTAAAGTTTTATAAACTCAAAGCAGACGAATAGTTTTCAACAACAAAAAAACTTGTCTACCAATTTGTTGCTTTATTTTTTAACAAGTTCAAATAAAACAAAATATATCTCAAACAAATCATATCTCAGTTTTGCAAAACAATTTCTGATTTCTTTTTGAACGTTTATAGTCCAAACTTTACCGCACTGATCGCACTGATTAGAAAACCATAGTTTGAAAAGAAAAGTAGTCCAATAAAAAGCCGAAAAATGTTTATTAAATTTTTTTGTTGACAAACTGTTAGAAAATTGTTCTTGTTTAACACTTCATTTATTCTAATTCTTCAAGCACAACATTCAGTAACTGTAGTGGAACATTGATGCACTAAAAATCTGTGCTATTTTCACTAGAACAACCTAGCGTTTCAAGATGCACAAAAAATGGCATGCATAAATAATTATCAGCGAATACACATAATGAGAATGTTAAAACAAGAAATTTTGTGCAACTGCAAACCAACTATCAATACTCACATTATCGTACTCGCTATTACTAAGTCTAGCTCAAATCTTTCCTGTATGCCCTATACGTTTCAAAAAATCAAAATCATATGTTAATGCCTTTCAACATATCGGAAATATCAAACTTTATTATAAAAGATTGATCAGTTAGCCAGCTAGTAGATAATTAGCTGTTTCAGCAATTTTATTCTTCTGACCATGCTCCATATAATTTTCAAGAAAATTTCCGTACCACAGAATGCAAAATCCCACTTACCAACTATTAAGTCTCACGATGTTGTAAAGGACATACGCCACTCCACTTACAAAACTCAACTGAGTCCTCAGTCATAATCATGCACTATTTTACCCGTATTTCCAACCCATTTAAACATTGCTTTGCAACAAGATCTAAAATGACAAGACAACCAAACCATCACCGCCGGTACCACAACAATAATTTCATTCAGCATCTGTAAGTCACTTAAATCCCCCACGTTATTCAAGCAGTAAGATAAAATAAGAGAACTCCAGTCTTCACCCTCAAACCAGGAAAGCTTCAGATGCATGTAGGACTCGACCCTGACTTGGAAATCATTTCAAGAGGAGAAAAAGTGAAAATTAAGACATGCATCTACCCATGATTTTGCTTAAGCATGTCATTTGAAAACTTACCAAAAATATCAGACAACTCATCAAAGATTCTGGAACAATTTATTTATATCGCAACTCTATGGGAAGACATTGTGCAGAAATCACAGACTAAGGGGGCAAAACAAAACAAAAAATAAAAAAAAAAAAGAATTGGAGACCACAACTTGCCAAGTTGCATCTTTTTTTCACAACTCTTCCTGAAATCGTATCGTTCAGTTTTGTCCTACCCCGTTGAACTCATCAATTTAATAGAGTTTACGAGTGGCGAAATACAGCAGTCGAAAACTGCTGTAAAGCCCTTTGGTGCCTTCAGAATTTTATGGTTTACTCAACTATAAATGCAGATACCCAAACCTCACAAATTCCTGGAGCCAAACTTTTTTTATCCCCAACGGTGCTTATCTTTTGAAAGTCACGACGGTATTTAAACTAGAACTTTAATTTGCTACGCACGCTCACAAACTCTATAAAATTACCATTTGCAACAGAATATGAACAAATTCGACGACTTCATGTCAAAAAAAAAATCCCGGAAATTTCACTCGTCAATCTGTTATGGTACACATAGAAATCAATAAATCTGACGACTGACAAAAAGCGAATACATGTATTTAACAACAGTAAAAATCTATCAACAGCTTAAGAACTTAATCAAAAGGCTGGACAACAAAGACAGATAAAAACAAAAAAGTTTCTAGAACAAAAATCTTTTTCAAAGCAAAGAATGATCGCTGCTATCCGCCTACAGCTGCAAACAAAAATATCAAATACTACATTTAGAAGCTATTATAACCACCCGGTTACTCGTTAGTCCTTCCTTTCTTATTAGACTGCAAATGTCGATTTACTTCAGTTTCCTCGGCTATTGTCGACAGGGAATCATGATATAAATGTTCGTTAATATTATCTTTGTTAGCTCCATTGACCTGAATTATTATCAATAAGGAAACAGCAACAGCGATGAGAATTTATAAAAACTCTGGCAAAGCAACTACAAAACTTACTTGCATTTCCACCACACTACACCCGTCAACCTTATGTAACGTCCCCTCAATTCTTTTCTTTAGTTTCTTCTTTTCAGGGTCCAGAGGAGGAGGAACCGGAAGATAATTTTTGCCATCGACAGACTTTATCTAAACCAAATTCCATGAATACTTTGCATAATAAAAAAAAAACAACTTTTAGGCGAAGGAAAGAATTGAACTTTAAAAAAGTAAGAGCTGAAATAACCTACTTCGCAAGGAGGCCCTATTAATGAAAGCAACACAGGAAGCAATGCCAGACCGTTTATGAGACCAATTATAATCAGTGCAGACATTACGAAGAAGAAATATTTGACAACGAATTCGAACTCCGAGAAAGCAAGCATAACAATGCCTAGAATACAAAATTATGATCCAATTTACAAACTGCCAAAAACTATCCTATGAGCATGAGTAATTTACCTAATAAAGTAGATATACCACCGTGTATAACTGGGACAAACATGTGATCCATACATGCAGCCATCCGTTCGTTCTTTGTACCCATTGAAGTCAGGAAAGCTAATACAACATGTGCAGTGAACTCAACACCTAAATAGTCCCAATGACCAAGTATACGTAATGAAAAAAATATAAGATTCTCTCAAATTAAAACGCTTACCAATGCCAACAGCAGTGATGAGCGTCACTGCACTAACCGGATTCAACTTAACCCCCGTAACACCCATAAAGCCAGCAAGTTCGACGGTCATAGAAACAACTATTATCATAACCATAAATGCAGCCCATGCATTAAAGATCATAAATGAAATGACAACGAAGACAGAGAAAGCAATAACACATATAGCCAAAAACAGGTGCCACCTGAAAATTCAAAAAAATTGAGATAAAATAAAGATGAGACTGAACTGAATAAACAAAACTAAAGAAGGTATCAACCTTAGGTGCAAATACTGCTCCCAGAAAGTAAAGGCAATGCCAGATGGAAAATTGGGTAGCCCCGCAGCAGTAAACTTGTCGCATATACCACGAATTTCCTATAACCAAGACTTTATGCACCACCAATTTTTTGCAATGTATCGTCAAAAACAGCGTTCAGAATAAAAGAAAAAAAAATAAAATAAGGCAGTCATTTCCCCTACATTTATCATTTTAACGATTATTGGAGTATCAACAAGGTTCGTAAGGTAGAATGGAATCTGGCTGTAAAGCAATGGCGCAGCAGGAGGAACTAGTTGTTCTTCCTAAATTAAAAAGTTAATCATGACGAAACCACGACAAGATTCAAAAACTGCATTAATAATTCCACTAAGACACTCTAACAACTACTAAATTAATTGGAACGAACATTAGAAGGTGCCCAGTAAGGAGGTGCGGGGAAGAAAGACGCCTGTGAGACATAATACATCATATTGTCAACATTGTACCATCCAGTAAGGTAGTTGTAAAATCCATCCGGATTTATTACTCCGTCATCGTCCACGAGACGTAAATGACCAACCTAAAGTAGAATCCCACGAAGAAATATTTGAAGAAAAATGAAATTTGAAACATTGATGTTTACTGCAGTTTGATAAAATAACTCACTCGTCCTGTGCAGTTGTAGACATTGCCATAAGAGCACAGCATACGACGGGCTATTCTTGCTTCATCGGTTAAGCCATTTCCAGAAATAATAGCACCAGTCACATTACTAACCAAACCTTTGCTAACTGCGTCATCTATATGTTCCTGTATAGATCGAAGCCATATCCTCATTAGTGACATCCAATACTCCTCACTAGCATGGCCATTAACTTTGATAACAAAATCAGATTTAGCTGTAAAACGAAATTTTACTATAACTTAATAAGCAGCTAATCAGAACTCATTTTTCAATAAAGACCATAAAAAAGAAAAGTTTTGCTGAGAGGTATTAGACGCTACCAATTTCCTTGCGATATTCTTCAATAAGCTTTTGCTGATTTGGGTAGTCGACACCTTTAGTCACAGCAACCATTGGATAAAAACTAAAATACTTTTCTCGAGCGCGCAAAAACGCAGACGGGGCAGTGTTTTCAGGCAGTACGTCAGAAAGTTCAAGGCCTAATGTGGATTGATAAAGCCCAACGCAACCAAACAGAAATAGTCCAGAGCAAAAAGCTAATACAGCTACCTGAAAGAATCAAAAAGTAATTTCAGGCAAACAAATAAGCATAGCAATTTCAGAGGTAGCAATTGATGGTTTAAATATGCAAATGCAAGAAAGCTCACTTTTGTACTGCGTCTGCCAAGGAGTGGAATATAATAATGATGTAGAAAACCTTGAAGAGTATACCATGGCATATCATTCTTTTTGTCCTCACAAGAGTCCTTTTTTATAACTGGAGGAGGCTGAGGATATCCAGGAATGCCTAGCATGCCCAATACAGGTTTTCCTTTTTTGATTTCCAAAGTTTCTGCTCCAAGCTAAAAATCCACATAAAATATTTTTCGAAAACTTGAAGAAAAAATTTCTATATTACACAAATAACCTTCTTCTTCTCATCATCACTCCCGTCGCAGCAGCAAGCCATGTCGCGTTTACCAGATCTCCTCCGTCTCAAGTCCAACGCTATGCACGCGGGATATACGAACATAATAGCCATAAGATTGAACATGAGCAAAATTGCAGACTAGAGTAACGATTAAATACATAAAAGCTATTTATTGAGCAAAACAAAATAAAACATTTTAAACTTCAGTTGAGTGACCTTAAATTGAGCTAAAAAGTTTAAAAAGATGGCGCAAAAAATATACTTGAGAACAGAAAGACCGGAGAGCAGGAATAGGCAGTACTGTTCCAGACATAAACGCAATTATATTGTTTGACGAAGTTATCAAAATACTCATACCCGTTTCCCTCATCAACACTCCTAAAACGAATAGAACATGCGGCAGTGATGGTCAAGTAGTATGCTAATAAGAGTTGTAATAAGAGCTTGAACCATAACACACGAAGAAATTCTTTTTTACTTCTGCTAAAAAAAACGATTACCAATTTCACGCCGTCGAACTGTGTGAACTATTTCGTTGTAATTATGCAATAAAAGAAACATGTCGTCAACGCCCAAACCCAATGTTAAGAATGGAACAACCTAAAAAAACTCTACAATCAAAGAATCAACTAGATGACGGTAATGATGCAACAGCTACTTCCGTCTTAAAAAAAAAACAAATGTGCAGTGCAAATGGTGCTGCTTAACCTGGGTAGTTGCTGCATTGAATTCAATCCCCATCCATGTTGAAAGCCCCAGACCAGCAATGCTGGAATACGTTACAAGCAGAACGCCCATAATACCAAGACAAACCGAGGAATCTACAGCAAACCAGTAACCATCCCATTTGAGCTGTGACCAACCAGCGTAAATAAACTGAAATACTAATGCATATCATCTGAGAAGTAAACTTATAAAAAAATAATTATTAACTGGATAAACAATTCAGTTACCATCAATAGATATCCTATGAATATAACAAAGAATTTAAATTGGCTGAATTCTTCCAGCATATCTGCGATAGAAGTGGAAGCTAAAGGGTGAACTTGTCTCACATTTTCCTTCTGAAAAAAAAGTATCTAAATCCTAAGTAGTACACCGAAGAAAAATGAGCCGCGGCGATAGCACACTGTCTTAAAATATCTTTCATTCTTCCATGGTGTAATCTATTACCAAGTGGTTCCATGGGTGATTGTAAAGATTTTTGGTGAAGTTTCTTTGCCACGCCTGAACTACTTCATTGGCTCGACCTGGTGTCCAATTTTTCAAATCTAAGTTTGGTTTTATATCTCGTTTGCCATCCTAAACAGAAAAGACTTTTAAAAAAATAATAAAGAAAAAAACGAAG